AAAAAGCAGTAGAAAACAAGTAATACGAAAGGTATGATACAGTATTGTCATTTGCTCGCTTGAACAACTCGTGGAGAACGAGTTTGGCACCGCGCCAAACGCAGCCGCACGAACACGCCCCACCGTCCGCAATGAACTACACTATAACTGAGTTTCTGGTAGAATGTTTTGTTTTGGGCACAATTGTAATCATGCCTTTGTCCAGCACAACATAAGACGACCGTTGCTTATCTAACGAAAAACGCATCCTACGCCATTGTTCAAATGAAACACGCAACCACGCCCTCCTCAGCTCCGGGATATGGAGTGTACGTGCTTGGAAATAACCATTACTGCTTTCGGACGTGGACTACACTCACTTGGTCTGGGAAGGAGAAACAGGGGAGTTCTACAAATGTGCTAAACCCTACTAGTCTTGCTGCTGGACCGATTATGACTGTGTCCCTATCGGTCTGTAAAGCGTCAAGACCCATGAGAAAATAGAGCCAAGGAAATGGCAAGTAGTCGGTAACTGCCTTCACATGGAATGTGCTCATCATAACAATCGCACTGTCCCTTCGCTTTACTTCTTGCATTTTTGCGCAGAACCAGGATATATTAGAGGCCACTTCAGTCATCGTCAAGTCTGTTGTGAAGTTAGATTAGCCATTAGGATATTGCACTCTACAAGTCCGGTCACCAGAACTTATCTGAACCTTTGCAGGTCTTGAATTTTTCGCTCTACTTGTGCAAAAACAGGGGAAAGGATTACAAAGATGTATGGGTGGACCATCTGGCCTACATGACCTACTTTACCGTACCAGCTACTCAATGACTCTGATAGTGCTCTTTGAGGATTTCACTTCACAACTGGAGCGCAGATTAACTCGTGGAGCAGCAAACTGCACTGATCTCAGGTAAGATATCCCTTCAAGTTAACTTTACTTCTGAAGATTCGAAAGAAAGTGAGAGCCTTACATTAACTTCTCGCCATGTCGCAGGTTCAGGGGACGGGTATTGAAAACATTTGAGAACTATTGTAATAGTAAAACTGATTAAACGAATAAGAAAGTTCTCTAGATGATCGAGAGCCTTGACAAGCTACTGGGTGCCTGTATTTTGTTAAGAGCTTGATTACTTTTCTCGCAACTTGAGGAAGTCCTGTTTAATCTGTGGTTCAAAGTCCTAGTGAAAAATCATTCTTCAGATTCGTCGGGTTCTTCGCCGTGCGACTGTTGTTTTGGTACTTTGTTTTTGAGTTTGTCCTTCATTTCATCCATGTTCACTCACTCTTCAACTCTCCTTTGGACATCTTGCACCGTCTGAACAATTACGAACGTGAGGCTCTTATTCTTTGTCATTTCAACTGCTAGAATCTTTTACATTCTCTAGGCTCGTTACCTCTTTCAGTGGCCGCCGTTTCGTATGTGACTGGGCAGCTATTCTTTATGAAATATGTAGTGCTATTCGGTCTTCCGTCACTGTTCGCTTATCTGGACGGTATGTGTTGTAGGAGCGAAAACTCAACTCCTTTCTTTTTTCACAGACTTAGTGGGAGGTTACATTACCACCTTCTTTACCATTTTTCCTTCGTCCCGGTGTGAAAGGCTAGGGTACAGGCTTATAGAGTACAGTGATGCTAGAGCATCGAAAGATGTGAAGGAACAGGAACAGAGACCTTGGGAGTTGGCGTTCCAAAGGTGGAGTAAGCCAACTTGTGTGAAAAGTCGGATCTAAGGAGGTCACATTGGGTCACAGAACGCTGACTAGGTGAAAGTTAACAGATGAAAGCGAAAAAGTGATGCGATCGAAAAAGCCAAGTTCAAGTAGAAGGATAGGGGGCCGAGTTTTTGCCAGGTACCCTAAGGTTGTTTAGTGTAGTAGTGGACTATAGTGCAGAGCATCTTCCATCCTTAGGATATCCTAGTAGAGGTCCTAACCAAGTGTACACACCCAAAAGGGGTCTATGTTGACGAAGGTGTATATGTAGTTTAGAAGTTTTGGAGTGATTTACTCTACTAGGACAAGGATAGAGGGATCATTTTTCAGATGCAGGTTTTGGACCAAGATACACCAACCGATAGCGGCCTTTGTGGCCTACACAAAACTCTGCCACTCTGATTTCCGGTGTACAGCTTCTTGCGCGGTCAGCCTCCTGACTCTTGTTCGGAACATCGAGGACTATCACAAACATGCGGCAAAACAGGGTATTAATACGCAGCCGATGCGGTTCCGAGATACGCGCTACTTTTTGGCCCTCCGGCTCTTTTTGCGAAGTGCCAAATCACCAACAATCCGCTGGAAACTTGTATACAGGACTTATTTACCATCCTAATTTATATTATTTATTTATTTATTGGACATGTCAACACAACATGTAAAGAACAACAAAAAGAAAACAAACATAACGAAACCCAGCAATAGGTAAAACATTGATATGTGATGTAGCGAATATGACATTCACTTTTGCGGTGGCGAAGTGGGCGACTCTACGATTTCTTCTGAGCTCAGGGCCTTAGCCAGAACTCAGATAATCGCATGTGTTCTGCTCCTGTAAATAGCAGCCAGCGCCAAGAGAGAGGCATATCGTATAGGGTTGTTAAACTCAATACCCCTGTGCAAGGGTGGGGTTGCTGCGGGAGTAATGAGTTTTCACAGGCAGAATTCGGTTTTCGAGGTCACTTCATAAATCACCAGCGAGCCTAGAGACTCAGTGCGTCACACAAAATAGAATTCAGTTTATCAATACGCCACCTGGCGCTAGGGTATGGTGTATTGTGAAAATTTTAGATGGGTGAAGGCTTTAGCTAGGCGGAAGTATAGAGCATGTACTAGAGGCGAATCGCGAGGGTTTGCAACGCGGCTGGGGGAAGTAAGCGCCTCAAATTCGTTGCTAGGTTTTCCTTAACACCAACTCTTGAGAAACACACTCACTTCCTTGGTTCCTGGTCCTTGCCATGTTCTAGGTGAATGGGTTCGCAGCTGCAGTAGCGTGAAAATTTCTCCACTCAGCAGTGCACGGAAACGCGGCTTGATGGTAGTGATGCCCAGGTGTCCTTTCGATACTCCGTCCGCGCTGTCGCATGGCCAGCGGCACGCTTAGCCCTAACCAGTACGCGGCAGTTGTCTTCGCTCTCTCACTTCTGTTTATTATCCTCTGACTGCGCGTTTCCTGTGGGCGAAGTATGGAAAGGGACACCTGGGAATCACTACCCTCCAGCTCCGCTCCGGTGCACTTTCAAGAGGAGAAAGTGGCACGTTACTGCAGCTGAGGACACGCTTACCTCTCACATAGCAGGGATCATGTTCGGAATTGAAGCTGACTTCGTATATCCACCAACGTTTGAACCACAGTAGGCCTTGTCTGAAGCGCTTCGACCTCCTGAACCACATCACATCCGCTCAGCCTCCTGGCGCCCGCGCTACAGGCGCTGGCGCCAAAATACCCCAGATCACCGGCGCCTGTGGCGCGGGCGCCAGGAAGTTTCGGGCTAAGCGAATGTCATATTCGTATTCAGGAGGTCAAAATACCCCAGGAGACAACATTTGAGCCAAATCTGTCCACGGAGAAAAAAGTCGGTCAGAAACTGGCTCAATTCTGGATGGTTGGGGCAGTAAAGGGTAAATAGTGCCGTGACTTCTTGCCTGCATTACAGGTATTATCAGATATGTATAAGAGTTATAGCGAATGAGCGGGTGTCCCTTCCACATGGCGCACTGCCCCTGTGATGAGCAAATGGGCCCTCTTGAAGACAAGGCGTATACATAGTCAACTGTTACTGGAATTAGCCATCAAAGAAGAAACGATTCCAGGGATGCACCCTCCACCTCCACCTATTTGCATTTCTCGAGTTTCGCGCTACTCACGTATGTGGCGTCATTTTGACGCTGGACTGTACCAATTTCTCAAAAATCAGGTAAGCGGATCAAGACTTGCATTAAAGAGGAAACCGGCCAGTAGCTGTTCTAGGTGTATATTCCTCTTATGACGGCTTCTCATCCTCATGGTCTAATTCGAGGATTAGCAGCTCTGGTTGCTGTCTTCGGAGTGGTACTCGCTTGGCATGGCACCACAACTCATTACGTCTGTTGGGTAAGGACTGCTAGAAAGCACCAAAGGTGGAGAAACAAATTAAGCTTTTAGGTTTCACTATCTGCTGCAGAGCTGATAATAGAGAAAATTGGAAAAGCTATATGGAGCACTGATGAGTTTCAAGAAATACGACGAAGCATTGGGGAGGTGAACACAAGACGTTTGATAGCCCTCGGAATGTTGGCAACCGTGATTCTGGTGAGTAAAGATGAGGAATACACAGACATACAAAAAAGGATGTACAAAACTGAAATTTGGAACCAGCAAAAATCGCACGTTTAACAGGCTTCACTGAATTCATTTTTCTTTGTTTACACTGATATTGTGGGAATTCGGGGGCGGTGTCAAGAAGACCCCAAGCGGGTGAGCCGTCCACTGTCTTTTTCTCCGAGTAGTGACGTTAGCGATCTGATTCGGGACGTTATGTAACTCTTGTATAAAAATGTTCATCTCCACGCTTGACACGCGACTCATTGCGAGGATATCAGCTGTAGTGAAGTTCTTAATGTTTTAGAGCCTACCTAAAGATACTAATGTAGTGAGTTTTGTCTTTAATAGATTATCGGCCGATGTTTGAGATCTTGAGTATACCAACATTCCCAATATGGAATGCCTTGAGAACGAAACCCGGCCGCTGGCAATAGGGCGTCTGGCGTTACGGCAAAAATATTTTCGCAAATAGACCGCTATCTGCCTCTAATTCATTTCTAGCTACAAACCTTCCATATCCAGTCCGTACTACGCAACTCCCATAAATTGTCCTACGCTACTTATGTTTTTATTATATGATTCGTTTTTTTTTTTTGAAAATTTCGCCTTTTTTCCAGAAGTGCCGTAGAGCGAAAGGAGTGTGTAGCGCAAGAAGAACCGAGAAAGTTCAACACCAGAAATATTTTCTTCAAAGGAAAATATGCTTCCCCCCCTCCTGCCTCCAGCGAGAGAAGAACGACCCCTCCCTCACGTTCGGGTTCCCTAACGTACAGCGTGCAGTTTTTGCAAGGGAACCATATGTATGAAATAAACTCATTCCTTAACTACGATTCAGTAGTTTCAACCTATAGTTTTGCGTCCAGTGGTGATGGATGGTATGAGTGGTGTCGTATTAGAGTGAGGCACTGCTTCCAGTCGACCTGAGAAGTAATGGTGCAACTACCTCGTAAAAGCAGTATGAGCTGAGGAAATCAAACTCATCCTGGCTGTCCAGTTAACTTGTATCAAAGTGCCCTGCTCCACGAACTGCGACTGGTACAGTCGAATGGGATGATACAACGTCGGTTTCGGAGCAGACTACTGGACACGATCGTGGCAACATCGCCCCTCTAACTGCACTAGGGCATCGCAAATTGATGCCCCTTCTGGAGTTCACAGCCAGGCACGACGGGTGTGTGGCAAGAGAATCGTAATTCGCCGCGCCAGTGGGCGTCGCGTGCGACGTCGCGCCTGCTAATGACGACGATTTTAGGTGGTATTGGTCGAGAACAATGTATGACCAAAAATAGACATAAGTGTCTACCATGTCCTTGTCTACATGAAATCCGATGCTCCAATCGAAAGGTAGTGCAAATTAAGGAAACGTCGCGCCCATTGCCGCGCGCGACGAAGCGGCAATTTACGATTCTCTTGCCCGTCTCCCAGGCAGGAGTGGGCGCTGAATAATCATATACTCCTCTAGAAGCTGGCTTTGGTAACGCGGAATAGGAGTCAGGAACGACTTAACATCGTCGTTTCCCGGGATGACGCTTAGCATTGACAAAAAAAATCGCTCCTACCTAGCCTGACTCCGATGTCACCAAAAAAGAAATTAAATAACTACAACCACCTCAAACCACGACCACATCAAATCCTTCAATCGATAGCTTCAACTGTTTTGCGAGGAAACCGTCCAGTCACTGCCTAGCAAATGACCACATATCACTTCTCCTACTGACAATGCCGACAATCCTGCCGTAGACGAAGTTTACCGGAAGAAAAAAAATCAAGTGAGCAAGTGGTCAAAATCGGACAGGAGTTATGGGACAGCCTAATATATTGATCTACTGCTTGTTGTTCTACTTTTGGTGAGAACTTGTTGACCTAATGTTGCATGAGTACATCAAAGTAGAGAGGAATTGCCATCACCTGGCTTTTTGTTATCTACTGGATTAGTTGCAGAAATAACAACGCAACAAACCCATTCAGTAAATTTCTAATCAGCTATTTAGGAATTTTCGGTGTATTCTTCTTCCTTGGCGTTGAAGGTACGGGATCAGTAGTATTTCAAAATATTCTTGTAAAAGGAATACAAGACGTTTTCGCTGGGAACGTTGTGTTTAGTAGGTGAGGTTTGTGAGGTTTTTGAAAGAAAAATATTCTTCTGTGCGAACCAACCATTTATTCTTTCAGTGCTTGCCATGGCTTTGTCTTCTTACACTTGGTAACCCTTGGATATTTCTTCAACAATGTATGCTTGGACTTTGAAATGATCAACGGAAGCGGGAAGAAAAATGTTTAAACATAGCAATAAAGTTGTAATAACAATTTATCGGGCAAAACAAAACAACACCCACAACGATGTAATGCTTATCCTCCCTTCTTCTTCGACACACCAACAGTGCGTCCCTTGCGTCCAGTGGTTTTTGTGTGCTGACCTCGTACACGGAGTCCCCAGTAATGGCGGAGACCTCTGTGCAAACGGATTTTCTTCAGGCGCTCAAGATCCTCACGAAGCTTGTTGTCAACACCGGTAGAAAGGAGCTGAAACATCACTGACATGAACCTTGGGCTTGCTGGATATGCCTTTACTGACAAAGAACATCTTTAAAGGTCATGAGCAGCAAAAATATCACAGTATGTTCCCAATTAAACACGGATAAAAGACTCTCTGCATTTGATTACAGAAGACATTCCCAATAAGACTTGAAATTTCATGCTAACATGAAATCGCGTGACGTGATAAGTAGAGTAGAACTTTAGTAGAGTCGTGGCACGAAAAACCAAAGGATAGGTCTAAGGACAACTTGAACCCAATCCCTTTGAACGCGTCGATCTTCTCTTTTTCTCTGCACTCTCTCGTCCGCATGGCACTCTATGGCCGTTGTGACTTCGCACATTCCAGCTTTTCACCGATTATAAGTAGCTCACCCACCCCGGAGTCCCCTCCCCTTGAAAAAGCCCGTTTCCTGGCTCGCCATATGTTTCTTGCACGTTTCGATGCTTTGGCAGCCGCTGTCCTCTATCCGTCTGCGTTACAGGGTTTCGTAACAGGACCATGAGTAATAGACGGCTGCGACTGTGAAGGCAGCTGAAGGCGCAAAAAATGTAGCCAGCCGGGGGACTCGCTTTTTTAAAGGAAGGGGATTCCGAAGTGAATGAGAGAGTTATTATGCTTGAAAAGCTGAAATTAAGGTCGTAGTTACAGATTGTGGGCGTGAGACGCAGAGAAAAGCAGGAAGTTTCGCGATTAAAGGACCACCGTTTGTAGTCCGCAGACCTTGTGCTTCTTAGGACCCTGTGTATAAATATAAATGTGTTTTTGTTTGACAGGAAGAGCTTAGCAATTTTTAATGAAATAAAAAAGATAACTGATAAAATAAAAGACCTCAGTGAGCTCAGTCCGCCATAACTGAGATGTGTTTCTCATTACACTGTCCATTCATATTGAGTATTGGCTAATACTATTTGTTAGATCTTCAAAACATGAGGAATAGCTAGTGCTTTCATACCATTTTTTTTGATAAGGGGCAATGACTCAACGGAATAACAACAGGTCACATCTGTTCTGCTTGCGTACAAATCATGTATGAGACCGTCAAATTGAAACGGAAAAGTGAAATCATGGAAAGTTGCTACACTAACTTATGGGTTTCAAAGATGAAGGTATATAACTGTAACTGTAACTTTCTTTGTGGGTAGCCGATGGTATTTTAAGTAAATGAACCAAAATACTGTGCGTCAGATAATTAGGATTGTTGAAGTGTTCTATCGATTGGAACCGCGAAGTCCATTAAAACAACACGGATAAAACTCGATAAAATAATCTGCGTCAGTAGTGACCCTCGAGGCTTCGAAACTGCCACTAGGAAAAAATCTGACGCCTAACGGAGTTGTAGAGGCATAGGAGGCCACAAACCTGTGAATATTTTCCATCCTTGATATCCTTTTGTCTGTTGAGGAACCAGTTTGGAATTTTGTATTGAGCAGGGTTCTGCATGATTGTGACAATCTTCTCGAAATCATCTTCAGTGAGTTCTCCTGCGCGCTTGGTCACATCAACATCGGCCTTGCGGCAACACAAGAACGCGAAACGTCGACCAACACCCTGAAAATCTTGAACCTTGCTATCACGCTGAGCTTGCTACGAAGCATTGTATATAAGGATGCAAAAACTACAATGGTTTACAAACAATGCGCTGGCTGCACGTATACTGAAAACTGAGTGACTGTGATATCACTTGATTCCTTTTTTGTGCTAGTCTTCCTCTTGCTGAGGTAAAGAGAATTTTTACCATTTTGTAAGCTCTATACCCCACAAGTTTCCAAAAATTTTATTTGGGTTTGATTAATCAACCGAGCACTGCAGCTTAACGATTACCCAAGCAGTATGTACGAGAAAGAGGGAATCAAGCCATGACTGCAACAACCCTGGAAGCCAACCGACGCAATTCGGCGACAGAGTGGGAGAGGGGAGGCATTTTGCTTTTTCTCTGCTTCCTGTTGTCGTGTTTCATTGCTTTACAAGAGTTCACAAGTAGTTCCTATTATTTTTAACTACTATCACTTCGTGGCTTCATCAGGTTTCACAAATCTTTTCCTGGTGGCCCAACACGACAATGTGAAGCAAAGAAAAGCAAAATCCACCTCCCTGTCGCCGAACCGCGCCAGCTGATCTCACGGGTTTAAGAAAACCGACAAAGTTGGATTTAGCGCCCCACTGTTATACTTGTTCTCTCACCACCGTATACCCAGCCCTATGCACGCGAATCGATCCGCTGTCTGGGGTGAAACGCAGCACTGTACGCAACGCAGCACCGAAAGCCTGTTAAAAGAATTTTACGTTGAAGAGCCCGCAAAAGTCTTAAATAGTATGCTGCATGAAAAGTCCATCGATTTCTTTGCGGTGGCTACCATATAAGTTGGTCCACTTCCCAGATTACCGTGGTTGTCTCTTTTTCGTGCAAACTCTTTAGCAAACCCACTTGTTGGCAATGAGGGCTACCCATCATCGATTGAATTGAATGGGTTCCCTGAGGGGTGTTACCAAGCCGTACGAGTGAGAGCCGCTGAATTTTTCTCAAGAAAAAACCGCCTGCAGAACCAGAAGCACATCTGCATAGGAAAAGGGTATTGTTTTGTTGAGGAGTTGAAAAGGAATCTTGCTGGATACTGGAGCGGAACTGGGGACCACAGTCTAGTCTAATCGGCTTTCGAAGGTAGCCATGCACAAAATTCCACAGCTAAAAGCAGCCCATAAGGCGAAGAAGGTACTATGGATCTCTGCAGTGCTGTGCTCCCACCCAGCTTTCGCAACAGACTTACAGTTAGCAACTTTTGCCTACCACCTACTGAGCGAAAGAATAACGTCCTTAATCGACGTCAAGCTCGGGAGCAATATCAATCGCTCCTCCTCAGCATAATCGCTGGAAGAGCGAACAATCCAGGTCCAACATACGAAGGTCCTACATTCTAGTGGTGACTAAAGATCTTGTAGAGAAGAAGTATGCAGTGGCCGGTGTGGGTATAACTTCAATCAGTATGGTTCACTGCGACTTAAAGTGGACTATTGCCAAAAATAAACAAAACGGGATCGCTTGGTGCATCGAACCGTACTATTCAGATTTCATAAAAAATGAAACGAAATATGAACGAAATATGAAAATAATGAAATGTACCTTAATAGCGGTGAGGGCGTACGGAACCTTGCGGTTACCGTCGATATTGGTGTTCATAACACGATGAATGTGTTGAAACTTCTCGGGGATTATCAACGACATGGCGTTGCGTCTATTACCACTGAAACAACAGTCATAAAATACGATAAAGAAATTGTCGCGGTAAACGGCGAATAATCTTAGTCCTTTCAAATGGACCAATTTGGTTTAAAGTAGATATGACAGCGCATTAAAGAGCGTACACCACATACACAGATTTAGACTTATTAATTAGAAACAAAGAAAAAACAAAATATTGGAAAAAAGAATACACTCCAAAGCACAGATGATTACTAAGACGCACAAGCTAGAGTACCCACCCACACAAGCGCGGTCCATGACCTGTGTGGGTGGGTACTCTAGGTAGTGGCCCAGTATACCGGAATAGGTAAAATCCCGGGTCACTTTGTAAAAACCAATGTCAAACCTTGCAAAAGCTCACAGGAAAAAAAACGAAAAGTCTCGGTACAAGGGAATTCGTCCACCGGCAGAAATCGCAGAATCAGCGGAAAGAGAAGGTACGCCTATCGTTTTTAAGAACCCGATCCCGAAGAAAATCTGCGGATTCTTCAGAACCTGCGGATCCTGAAGAAGTCTGAAGCAGGAGGGCTCAGGTTAAGCAGATTTTATCAAGTCTTCTCTGGCTATTTCGCTGATTCTTCCGCTTCCGGATTCAGCCGAATCTTCGAGCCCTCCAGATCGTTACGCACACACACTCTCCGCAGATCC